TTTGGATACAAGAGTGGGAGATGAACCCCAAGGCAGCTGCTGGTGAATGCATTGCCAGCCCAAGGCACCCAACTGTGTTTAAGGTCCCCAGTGTGGTCACACTGAGGTTGACTCCCCAGTCCTCCATCCATCGCCACATAATTAATCCAAGCTGCTCATGGTAACTGCTCCCTCACCAGGACTCTGTTCAGGAACTTGTGCCAATGAGATGTCAGGGAATCCTTGCTGGGGCTTTCAGAAAACAGAAGTGAGTGTCTCTCCTGTTGAAAAATAACAGGGAAACATGTTGTCCCAGGTTGTGTGGCCTCAAGGGGAACTTGCCTTAGAGAGAAGCTGAACAGGTAATTAGCAGAGAGACAGACAGAAAGAACTTGGGTCCCTAGTGACATTGTTTTTGTTGTTGTTTTTTATTTTACTTTATTTTTGGCTGCGTCAGGTCTTAGCTGCAGGATCTTCATTGCAGCGCGCGGGCTCTTCCGTTGTGGTGCATGGCCTTCTCTGTAGTTGTGGTGCATGGGCTCCAGAGCACCTGGGCTCTGTAGTTTGCAGCACATGGGCTCTCTAGTTGAGGCGTGCGGGCTCAGTAGTTGTGGCATGCAGGCTCAGTTGTCCCTCAGCGTGTGGGATCCTAGCTCCCTGACCAGGGATCAAACCCCTGCACTGGAAGGCAGACTCTTAGCCACTGGACCCCCAGGGAAGTCCCCTAATGACATTGCTAAGCCACTGAATCCACCAACCCTGAAGTCTGCCCACCCTGTCATATGAGATAATAAATGTCCTTAATCTTTAAACCTGTGGGAGTCAGCCTCTGTTACTTGCAGCTGAAAACATTCTAACGGACTGACACACAGAGTAAAGTGTGAACAAGCTGGAACCCTGGCAAAGTGCTGAATTCCTAAATGTAATAGTCTGGACTCAGTGCAGACCAAATGTTTAGATTGGACCTGAACTGCTTTCAGTTCCCAGAACATGCTGTGTTCTCTCCCACCTCAGGGTCCTTGCATACGCCATTTCCTCTTTCTCCTCAGTCTGCTCTTTGTGTCCCTGACTCTGGCTCGACTTCAGGCCTCTAGTAGGAAGCAAGGGGTCCGGAAAGATTTCCCTGGCCCGTCATGTCTGAGTAGGTGTTCCTTCCACATGGTCCCACAGAGCCGTGTGCTGTACTGAATTGCCCTGTGAAGGCAGGAATATATCTGTGTTGGTCACAGTTTGGATGAACCTTGAAGACATTAGCTAAGTAGAAGAAGGCAGACACAAAAGGCCACCTATATGATTTTATTTATATAAAATCTCCAGAACAAGCAAAGCCATAGAGGCAGAAAGGAGATTTGTAGTTGCCAGGGGCTGGGGGGTAGGGAAAGGGGGAGGGACTGCTAATTGGTTATGGTTGCAGATATCTGTGAATATACTAAAAACCATTGAATTGTATACTTTAAAAGTGGGGGGGGGGGAGGCTATGCTATGTGAATTGCATCTCAATTTAAAAAAACAAAAAACCTCCACCGTTTTCCTGTTTTAGCTGATGAAACAGGCTAAAAGAAATTGAAAAATATCAATATATACTCATTTATTTAGTGAAATACATAGAATTTCACAATAAAAAGTCATCCTAATTGTAGCATATGTCAGGGCTTCATTCCTTTATGTGTCTGAATAATATTCCATTGCATGCATATATCACATTTTATTTGTCCATTCATCAGTTGATGGATATTCGTGTTGTTTCCACTTCGGGGCTATGATGGATAATGATGCTATGAACATTAGTATACAAGTTGTTATGTGAACTTATGTTTTCAATTCTCACAGGTATATACCTAGGAGTGGAATTGTTGGGTCATATGGTAACTCCATGTTCAACTTCTTTGAGGAACTGCAGGACTGATTTCCAAAGTGGCTGCACTGTTTTACATTCCCACCAGCAATGTGTGAGGGTTCCAACTGCTCCACATCCTAGTAAAGATCCATTTGAGTAAATTTATTTTAGGCAAACAGAATGCTGACCTGGAGAAATAGGAACGATACACTTCATACTTACATAATTAATGTGCATGAATCAGATGATCAGTAATGACCTTGCCAATCTGCCTTTTGACATCCAAGAGCTCATAAGGAAAAGGCAAAAGAAAAGAAAACGACTAACTTGGGAATGAATGACTGATATTATCTGTTTTTTTAAAAAAAGGCATACATATTGGCTAAAGAGCCTACAGTCAATTTAAACTTGAAAGTTATATAGCAATGGTTTCCTTAGCTGAAGCCTAAGCCATCCCCTGCTGGGGTTCAGATGTGTCTGGGCCTGTTTGGTGATGTCAGATGTCAGAAACCGGTTTTTAAGAGGAAGAATAAACTTGGGAGAGAGAACTAATTTAAGGGAAGACAGACTTAAACAGAAAAGTTTATTAAGGCTTTTGGTGTGAGGCATAGTTCCGAAAACACAGGATTCCCCAAACCCTGGTCTTGCCTCCATGTATCCAGGACTGAGTCCTAGAAGAGAAAGGCCTGTGGGTAAAATTTGAAAGCATGATTTCTATGGTTTGAATGTTTTTGTCCTCCTAAAATTCAGATGTTGAAATCCTAACCCCGCAATGTGATGGTACTAGAAGGTGGGGCTTTTGAGAGGTGATTATTAGGTCATGAGCTTGGAGCCCTCATGCATGGGATTAGCACCCTTATAAAAGAGACCCCGCAGACTTCCCTAGCTCCCTGTGCCATGTGAGGATACAGCAAGAAGTCAGCAGTCTGCAGCACAGAAGAGGGTCCTCCCCAGAACCCAACCACGATGGCACTCTGATCCTGGACTTCCAGCCTCCAGAAGTGTGACAAATAAATTTCTGATATTTATAAGCCCCCTAGTCTGTGGTATTTCTGGTATAGCATCCCGAATGGGCTAAGATAATTATTCTCATAAAAAACTCTAAGAGGGGGCTTCCCTGGTGGCGCAGTGGTTGAGAGTCCGCCTGCCGATGCAGGGTACACGGATTCGTGCCCCGGTCCGGGAGGATCCCACATGCCGCGGAGTGGCTGGGCCCGTGAGCCATGGCCGCTGAGCCTGCGAGTCCGGAGCCTGTGCTCCGCAACGGGAGAGGCCACAACAGTGAGAGGCCCGCGTACCGCAAAAAAAAACCCTCTAAGAGGGACTTCTCTGGTGGTGCAGTGGTTAAGAATCCGCCTGCCAATGGAGGGGACACGGGTTCGAGCCCTGGTCTGGGAAGATCCCACATGCCTCGGAGCAACTAAGCCCGTGTACCACAGCTACTGAGCCTGCGCTCTAGAGCCCAAGAGCCACAACTACTAAGCCCACATGCCACAACTACTGAAGTCCTCGTGCCACAACTACTGAAGCCTGCACGCCTAGAGTCTGTGCTCTGCAACAAGAGAAGCCATTGTAATGAGAAGCCCGCGCACCGCAACGAAGAGTATCCCCCGCTCGCTGCAACTATAAAAAGCCCGCGAGCAGCAACGAAGACCCAACGCAGCCAAAAATAAATAAATAAACAAACAAACTTCTAAGACACTGGATAAAAGATAGTACTGCCTCAGTATTCCATTCATACAGATATATTACCCAAAAGGGAGAGGACTTTCTCCCATTTTGTCCCCAAACTTCATGACCTCCAGAATATTCCTCTCCACATTGGTACACTGAAGGCCCCTGTGTATTGGGGGTGGTGGCAGTGGCAATGTGCCTGGATGAGTTGTTGGCTGGGGACATTGGAGGCAGCCTTGAGGCACCATCGTACAGCTGCCTGGGGAGTGCAGGCTGGGCAGTTGACATCACTGGAGAGGGACAGGGCAGAGGAAGACAGTGGTGGCAGCCCACGATGGTCCTGTGCTTTTTGGTGAGTCCAGGTGAGATACTCTCTGGGGACTCCCAGAAGGGGCATTGGTGGGGACTAGAGGTGAGGATAAAAACAGGAGAGACTCAGATCATCACTATTTGTATATTCAGAGTGCAAAGCATTCTGGCTGGTGTGGCCCAGAGAAATACAGTCTAACCACTATTGAAAAAAAAAGGAAAACTAAGTAGGTAGCTGAGGAATGAGCCAACTTTGAAATGAAGGGCTAAAAACACATTGTTCTTCTGGGATGACTGGTAATCTTATAAAATAATAATTTTTCCACCCCAAGAATCTTTGCTATTTGTGATAGCTGATGTAATAAAGCTGTTTAGTGGCCTTTCCCACCATAGGTTGCTGTGTTGTTCTCACATCTGGGAACTTTCCACTGCTTCAGAGATGAACTTTCTCACAGTTTTCTATCCCATGGCATCTGAGGTTATAGATGAAAATGTAACTAGTGGTCAATGGCAGGAAAATTAAGTGGCTGATAGAGTGTGTAATAATCAAAAAATGAAGCAAGTTCAATTCGATCCAAGATGTTGCATTAACACAAAGCCAATGCAACAGAGCCAGTGAGGACAGCCACAGCCTGGGTTCTCCCATCTCATGGGGGAGGTGAGGGAACCATCCGTAAATGCTGCCTTCTTGACCTCAAGGAAATGAAACCACGTGATCACACTTCTATTTTTCTAGGAGAATAAAATACATGAAGTTCAGGCCAATGCTCTTTTTTGAAAATATCACAAGTTATTAGACTCATTTTCCATCAAAGGACACTTTCCAACTTTTAAGAAAGAAATACAACAAATCTCACCCGATAAAGTTCTTGGCATGTGTTGAAGCATAAAAGCAGTTTGGGGGAGGGGTGGGGGAATGTTGTTTGGGGAGCAGCTGAGGAGTCAGGATCAGAGAAGATCCATATTCCCTCTGTGTGTGGGGAAGACAGACCAGAGCAATGGCTTTCAAACCCTGGGTTCCATGGGGCCGAACAATACCCCGAAATTACCCTGGGGTGACTGGGGGAGGGGCCACGTGGGTCCACAGCCTCCACAAAAAATCAGACAGACTGAATCTTGATCTCTTTTGTGTACTGGTTTTTATTTAACATGTATATTTGAACATAGGGATTTGCTGCCAAAGAAAGGGAAAAGAGAGAGAGGGCCTGCGAGAGAAAGAGACTGAGATTGAAAACCACTGGGGTTTGCTTGAATCCACTTCTGCAAATGTTATGGTTTCTCAGGAGGGGCCTTCTACCGGAGGAATCCTGAATGTTAATCACAGTCGCAGCAAACTCGGGTGCTGTTTTCCTTACTCACACCGGGAATTCATCTACTCCTGGCTCCCAGCACATGGTCTTGGCAATACTCGTCGTGGCTGCTTTGTTTCTGAGCCGCATGGTGGAAACTGAGCAGAGCCCTTGGCTGGATCCGTCACACCAACCCCTGGCTGACCTTCTGAACTGTACATCTCCGCATACAGAGGAAGAAAACTCAGGAGCCCCAGAGAGGAGAGGGCTGAACAGCTGGTCCTGTCCAGAATTGGGGAAGCTCTGCTCAGGACAGCTGAGATTAAAAGACAGTCAGGAAAGAGAAATCAGCGATTCCTTTAGGGGCCAGAAAACTTATGGAAATGCCAAAAGATGGCAAATCCAGAGGGCTTGGAAACTTGGTCACTTTAGCACTCAGCTTTCTGACCTTTGGAAATGACACATCACAGTATTGAGTCCAAAACCAGCTTTGATAGATTTTTTGTTCATCTTTGTACTCAGGCATTTTAAGACACTGTAGAGAGGTCTTCTGATGTTTTCCACACATCATAATGGCATAAAACCAGGAGAGGAGCAGCGACAGCCAGAAAGAATTACAAATAGAGAATAGAAGACAAAAAAATGTGTGTGTGGGGGGGCTAGGGGTACATCTGTGGGCTTAATCAGTAACTTAATCTGGCAATGCAAACTTAACCAGTTAAGAGTAAACAGAATCCAGTTAGGCCCCTGCCTCCTAATGAGCCCTTACCCCTACCTTGGGCTTTTGGGGTCCTCAGCCAACAACATGCAGACATGTCAGTTCCTGCTGGCGTCAATCCTGTCTGGCCTCTGGAACAACGGCCAAGCACTTGATCATTCTGCATTTCTCAGTCCTGAGCCTCCGAAGGCTACACGTGGCATTATTGGGAGTTCTTTGCTTATTAGTGGGCTTGGAATTTGCCTGCTGCACCCACATCTGGCCCCCAGATGGTGGGATTGACCCAGGTGTGCACTAAGCTGTAGGTTCCCCGTGTTTATGGTCAGTGTGCCCGCCTGGTCCCTGCTTTTTCCCTGGGACTGGAACGTGGTCCAGAGCTGGCTGGGGCTGCCGTGCCTCCCCTAGCTTCTGCCAGTCTGCTCAGGTCATCTTTTCCCTCTCACTGCCACTCTTCCACCCTACAGCAAAGTTGAGAAAACAGTACAATGAATAGCCATATATCCCTCACTTAGATTTACTAATCATTAACACTTCACCACATTTGTTTTTCTTTCTTTCTCTTCCTATGCACACAGACACACACACAATTGTCTTGATAATGTCTTTTTTTTATATAAATTTATTTTATTTATTTTATTTTTGCTGCGCGTGGGCTTTCTCTAGTTGCGGTGAGCAGGGGCTACTCTTCGTTTTGCTGCGAGGGCTTCTCATTGTGGTGGCTTCTCTTGTTGCAGAGCATGGGCTCTAGGCGTGCAGGCTCCAGTAGTTGTGGCTCGCAGGCTCTAGAGTGCAGGCTCAGTAGTTGTGGCGCACGGGCTTAATTGCTCCATGGCACGTGGGATCTTCCTGGACCAGGGCACGAACCTGTGTCCCCTGCATGGGCAGGCAGATTCTTAACCACTGCGCCACCAGGGAAGCCCTTGATAATGTCTTTTATGGCTGTATTGTTTTTCAGTTCAGGATCCAATCAAGGATCATGCACTGCATTTAGCTGTCATGTCTCTAGTTTTCTTTAGTCTAGAATAGCTCCCTTTTTTTTTTTTAATCTTTTTTAAAAAAATTTTATTGGAGGATAGTTGATTTACAATGTTGGGTTAGTTTCTGCTGTACAGCAAAGCAAATCAGTTATACATACACATATATCCACTCTGTTTTAGATTCCTTTCCCATATAGGTCATTACAGAGTATTGAGAAGAGTTTCCTGTGCTATACAGTAGGTCCTTATTAGTTGTCTATTTTTATATAGTAGGGTGTCTTGACTTGGATATTTCTGAAGAGTTCAGGACAATTGTTTTGTAGAACGTCCACAGTTTGGATGTCTGATTATTTCCTCTCGATTAGATTCAGTGGGACCACAAGGATTTTTTTTTCCATTCCCTGCGCTGCTGCACATGCAGCATTTTTGGCAGGAATATCTTCTAGGTACGACTGCCTCTTAGACATAGGCTGAACCCAATGCCCACTTGCTTTCCTCTGTACATCACTGTAACCACCTCCTCACTGTCCCGGCCAGAAGGCGACACAGCAAGGGTGGCCAAGGAGCTTGCGCCAGGCAGACCTGGGCTCCCAGGGGCCCGGCAGGGTTGCTGCCACCAGACACCACTCTGACGATTCAGCCCAACTGGATTGGTTCAGAAGGGAACTAGCTTAAATGTTCTCCTTTGGCTCCCACTTTCATTTGTCACAGCTGAGCTCTCAGATATCCTGGGCTCTTAGAACTCTGTCATAGCCCAGTGGTGGTTAGGCTGAGGAAACAAACAGGGCAGAGATCCCACAGAGGCAACATCTTAGAGGCTCCATAGGCTATAACCTTCGTTATGTGGACAAAACTGCTGAACTGAAGTGGAAACTCCAGGCAAAGGGCTGCTGTGCTGGGCTTCAGGAACACGAAGAACCAGGAGAAGTTGGGACCAGATGTCTGGTCGAGTTCAGGGATTTGGCAAGTATCCATGTTCTGCATTAGCAAGAAAACCAAGTTCCTCCTTGGAAAGGAAGCTATAAGTTCAAAAAGCCAAAGTCAAAACCCAAATCCAGAGCCCTCATAGGTTGGAGGAGACCTGGAACCAGGAGCTCCTCCAGGGCAGGAAGCCTTTCCTATTATCCTGTGCACCCCCATGACTGAGCACCATGCTTGGTGGGTGGGAGACACCCAACCCTTGCTGTTGAATGAATGGATGAATAAATAAATAAATACGATTTCTAAAGAAGAAGAGTCAAGTTTAGTATCCAAGAGTCCAATTTAATTAGGAGGATTTAAGAGTCAGTTTCTGAGGGTATAGATGGGGAGAGACGGCAGAACGTAGAATTTCGAGATACATACACCAAGGGTAACTGAGTTGAAAAATGGGGTTGAGCCACAGTAAGCTGTTGAAATGTGTTACAATTCATCCTCAATCGACCTAACTCCAGATTTTTCTTTTATGATGAGCTCATTGGTGTCGTGGTTTTCTTCAGGCAGAGAGAGAGCTTTTGTTCAGCCACTGTGCAGCCAGGAACGTGCCTGTCCCATCAGGCACACAATCTGCCTCTGAGAAGCTGGGAATGGGGCCACAAGGATGATTTTCCCCCCCTTTCCTGCCCTGCTACAGGTGGCAGAAACAGAAGGTGAGATGTGGACACACTCATATAATATCCAGGCTTTTCAAACCTCATACAGCGACACGCAAGCTCACTCTCTAATATCATAAAAGCTGGGAGGAAAGTCCAGGAGTGGGAATGGAGAAATTCCATGGAAAGAAAGCTCAGGAAGCTCCTAATAAAACCTAGCTTAAACATAAAAATTTGGCACTTTATCAAGACAAGGAAAATAGTGAGGGGTCGGTGACTGAGCTACGGGCTGCATTTAGCATCTGGAGTGTTGGAAGCTTCCAGCAATGCCTGCTAGACTGATAAAGGGGCTCTGGAAGATCTCTTAATGGATATAAGTGCTGTGCAGGGGGGAGAAGACTTGTCAGGTGATTCAGAATAAAAGTATTTTTAACTTGAGAAGAGTGCAATTGTATTACCATCCCCACATTTAGAGATGAATAAAAAAGGCACAGAGAAAGGAAGTGGGCTGTTACTGGGCCTCCCATAACTACAGTCCAGCTCAGCTTCCTTATATAGGTTTCTTTTCACACACATGCTGTTAGGTTAGGTTTCTAAAACTCATGGTTTTTATTTATAGATTAAGCACACCCCAATTTTTCTAAATACTGAAGACGATGCTGGCCAGAACTTAATTTGGGTTATCACCATGCCTAGCACTCCCTCCCTCCTGCCTTCCTGTCTGAGTCCCTTGAGGAACCTGGGTGGCCTCTTCATTTCTATAAACTTTCCCAACTTTCTTCTCCTTTTCCTCCCTCCCTCCCTTCCTCCCTTCCTTCCCTCCCTCCTTCCTTCCTTCCTTCCTTCCTTCCTCCCTCCCTTCTTCCCTTTTTTTTTTTGCCAACGTGTCAGTACAGCTGAGCCCCCTGATCCCTGTTGGCTGCACAGACCCAGCTCCAGTTCTGTCCTTTTACTGGGGAACTGATGTCAGCATGGCTGGATTACAGCCCAGCAACCGTTCTGTTACTAATGAATTGGCAGGGAGAACAAAACACTCTCCTGGAACAGTTTTGTCATCTATAGTTGGAGCACAGAAAACCTTGGGATTTGGAAAAGAACAAATGTCATTCGAGTTTGTTTATTTGCCTTCAGATGTCAGGACCCCCGGTTCACCATGCCCTGAATGTTTGTCTGATTACAGAACTCCTGCAAATAACAAAAGGTTAAAGGAAAACTCCACCCTTGCAGCATTTCCCTACTCATTTTCCGCCCTCCAGGACTGGCTGGCAGGCTTGGGTCGGGAAAATTTTTATATTTATAGTCCCATAAATAGGGGGGCCAGACTTGGCAGCTTCAAAAGGGCTGAGACAATCTTGGAAAGCTGGGATTGAAAGAGCCCTTAAGGAGCATTAAGGCCAACATTCTTCTCTAAATATGAGAAGCTGAAGCCAGAGAGGTTGCCGGTGTTAGGGGTTGAATTGAGTTTCCCCAAAATTCATTTATTAAAGTCCTAACACCCAAGACCTCAGAAAGTAATCTTATTTGCGGATAGGGTCTTTACAGACATATAAGTTAAAGTGAGATAAGCGGGGTTGGGTATAAACCAATGTGCATGGTGTACTTATAAGAAGGAGAAATTTGGACAGAGGCACGTACACAGAGAGAATACTATGTGAACATGAAGCCAACCGTCTGCAAGCCAAGGAGAGGGGCAGGGAACAGATCTTTCCCTCCCAGCCTTCAGAAGGAAACAGCCTTGCCAACACTTTGATTTTGGATTTCTAGCCTCCAGAACTGTGAGACAATAAATTTTTGTTGTTTAAGCTCAGTGTGTGCTACTCTGTTACAGCAGCCTCAGCAAACTCTTACATGTGGAATCTCAGTTCAAGAGTGGCCTCGCCAGTTAAATCTTCCGAATGCCTTGCCCAACGCTTCTTTTGTCACATTGCCACCTACACTGGATACATACTATGAAATTACTATTTACAGAAAACAAGAGTACTCTTCCAAAGGGACAATTTGTCTAAGAATTTGAAGAGCAATGCCTCTGATCTTCCATGCTGGAATCTCTATGTGTAAATAGAGGCAGGAAGCTGCTCCCCACCTACCCCCATCTTATTCAGTTTAAAAAGCTGCTCCCATTTAACTCACTTCCTCAGAACCCAGGAAATAGGCATTCTCTTTTTATACGATTGACCTCATTTTTAGTACTTGTCTCAATCTCTTTAAAAAATTACCTGGCCTTAAAAGAGCACAGCTAGAAATATGAAAATTATGAAAGAAAAAAACCTCATTGGTAAAGGCAAATATACAGTAAATGTTGTAGATCAACAACATATAAAGCTTGTAGGAAGGTTAAAAGACAAAAGTAGTGTAATCATCTACATTCACAATAAGTGGTTATGGAATACACAAAATAAAAACACGTAAAGTATGATGTCAAAAACATTAAATGGGGGAGGGGGAAGGGTGAGCTGTGACGGGGCGAGAGAGAGTCATGGACATATACACACTAACAAACGTAGTAAGGTAGATAGCTAGTGGGAAGCAGCCGCATGGCACAGGGATATTGGCTCAGTGCTTTGTGACAGCCTGGAGGGGTGGGATAGGGAGGGTGGGAGGGAGGGAGACGCAAGAGGGAAGAGATATGGGAACATATGTATATGTATAACTGATTCACTTTGTTATAAAGCAGAAACTAACACACCATTGTAAAGCAATTATACCCCAATAAAGATGTTAAAAAAAAAACAAAACATTAAATGGGGGGGGAGTAAAAATTCAGAGTTCTTAAAAATGTCAGGGTTGTTCAAATGTACGGCCTTGGGCTTCCCTGGTGGTGCAGTGGTTGAGAATCTGCCTGCCAATGCAGGGGACACGGTCTGGGAAGCCTGGTCTGGGAAGATCCCACATGTCGCGGAGCAACTAGGC